CGCTCCAAGTCGGTGTTTCTGGGACCACTGTTTGTGCCCAGGTGTGATCCAAGCCGGGGGGCTCGTTAGGAGAGAGGAGAGGGAACGTGGTTCCTGGTCACACGGGGGGGCCCGGATGCTGTGGGGGAGGGTACCGGAAAGAGGGCCCTGGCAGCAGCCCCCACCTGCCTCACTCTCTGCCCAGGCCGTCAGCTCCCACCGAGGGGTGCCCGCGGCCTCGCTCAGACCCTCCAGGCAGAGGGGCCCACCCTGAGGGACAGTCATCTTAGGAGGGCCTCGGGCCCTGCCACACACCCAGGCTGGGTCCTGGCTGGTGCACCTGCAAACTCTGCCACCCCCGGCGTCCCCCGCAGACCTCAGCCCCGTCGGGCAAGCAGGACGCTGACTCTCCTCTCCGCTTCCTCTCCTCCAGGCTCTTCTCTGCCATCTTAGAGCAAGCCACCAAAGCGGACGGGGCAAATGCACTCGGAGGGAAAGGGGCTGGATTCGACGTGAAGGCGCTGAGGGCGTTCCGCGTGCTGCGGCCCCTGCGGCTGGTGTCCGGAGTCCCAAGTGAGTAGGAGCGCTCCTGTCGCGTGTGACCCCATCCCCGACCCCGCTCTCCTGCGTCACTCGGGAACCTGATTTCACGTCGGCTCCTTAGCCGTGAAGGACCCGGCTCTCCTGTGAGCCCCCCGCACCGCAGCCCCCGGCCTGTCCTCACCGGGCCCCCCGCAGGCGCATGGCCGGAGGGAGGCAGCGGCGCAGGGAATGCAGCCCGGGGCCCTCTGGGCAGCCCCAGGCCCTGGGCGGGGGTTTAGGTGCATCTGCAGCAGAAGAGCCGTGAGCTGATCCCCGAGGCTCGCAGGGTACGCGAGCCAGCGGGGTTTTCTGTCTGTGTCTTTCCCGAGAGCAGCCAGAAGAGCGTCAGTGGAGGTCCAGAAGGTTCTCTCTGCCACCCCCAGCCCTCTCCTCCTCTCGGGTCACGTGGGGCAGCTCCAGGCAGAAGCCCTGTTTTTGGACTCATCGCCTGGCAGTGTGACGACTGGTTTTGCCTGAGAGTGGAGGGCGCAGGGCCCTGAGCAGGGCAGGAGGGCGCGGGAGAGACTGTCTGTCGCGTGAGGCTGGAGGCCGCGCTGCGTTCCGGGCTTAACGGGGTCCCACGTGTCCCCTCGCTCCCGAGCACGCGGGGAGGGAGCACCCGCCTCCATGTGGTTCTCGTGGCCGAGGGCGGAGGGCGGAGCCCACAAAGGAGGCGCACGGCTAAACCGCACACCCGTGTCTCAGGCTGTTGCTCAGCGTGGCTCGCACCCCAGCTGCTCCCGTCCCAGTGGCCAAGGGCTGTCATCGTCCCAAAGAGGCTGCGCAGGTAGCCGCAGAGAAGGTGGGGGCGGTGAGCCCAGCACACTCTGCCCCGAAGCCCTGGGGGCTGTCGTCGGCAGGAACGGTTGCGGTCGTGAGGGGCAGAGACGCGCTTTTCTCGCGTATATACACGTATATTTCTCTTGTTGAAGTAGTCGGTTTACAGTGCGGTGTTGGCTTCTGGGGTGCAGCACAGCATTTCAGCCTCACAGGAACAGACACGTACCCATTTTCATATTCTTTTTAACGATAAGTTACTACAAGACATTGACTGTAGCTCCCTGTGCCGCACGGTGTGAACGTGTTTTTCTGTTATGTATGTATTAGTATCTGCACATCTCGAGATCCTTAAGTAGAGAGGAGGAGGTGGGTGGGCGGAGTGGCGGGGCTCCACACAAAGGGGAGCGCCCATCAGCAGAGCTGCGCTGTGGAGGCCACGGGCCCTCCACCCAGAGGGTGGAGCCGTGACGCTGCCCACCCCTCAGGTGCGAGGCCCTGCCAGCCCCTGCCCCGAATTCAGGGAGATGTTTTGTCAGTAAGGGCGGTGGACGTGGGGCTGTGGCGCCGGGCGGGTAGCTAACACACAGCTCCTGGTGTGTCTCGTTTCCTCTGGGTCCCGGTAAAAAGGAGGTGGCTCTTCTGGAGCTTAAGCACAGGCTGGTCAGCCTTCCTCACTGGAGTAGTGTCTGCGCAACTTTTTAAATAGCGAAGCATGGAGACCCAGGGGCTCAGCACCCTGTGCCAGCTTGGCTGGTCTCACCGAGGACGGCATCACCGTCTCCTACACCGCGAGCCCGGACAGGGGCCCCCTACCCTCTGTGGTCATAGCATTTGGTCCTCCCTTAGATTTCAGCCAAACTCCCCAGGGCGTCTCCCCTGTCTGCCACCTCCAGTCCCTGCCTTCTCCCTTCCCCCCACAGCTGAGCGGAAACCTCCCGCCCAGAGCACCAGCGGCCTCCATGCTGCTGAGTCCGGCGGTCCATCGGGGCTGTGTCATCTGACTCCCTGCAGCCTTAGATCCAGTGGGAGGGGGTCCCCTGTCTTGGCGCCACTGTCCTCACCAGGCTTGGGGACCCTGTCCTGGCTTAGCTCTGCCCTCACTTCGCTGGGCCCCGGGCTCTCATCCTCTTACCAGTGCGAGGGCCACAGTCCTTGGGCCTTGTGTCTGCCCACCCTGGGCCCCGTCTCCTGGCTCTAAGTGCCGTCTGTGTGTCCTCTGACAGCCGCACACTGTGCGCCAACGGCTCAGACCTCCTCAGACTGCAGGCTGGCGCACCTCGCTGCCCATCGCGCCTCTCCTCGGGGGCCTCATAGCCCCTGAGCTCGGCGCGTCCCCGCCCCTAACAGAGCTCCCCAAATCCCCAAGTCTTTCCCGTCTGGAAAAGGTCACCCTCATCCTTCCAGTTACTCAGACCCAAACTGTTTCTCCGCTCTGCTTTCTGTCCCTCCGAAAACCCCATCAGCTGCACCTTCAGACTCCACCCTGCCCCCGGCCCCAGCACGTGAGCCCCAGCCCTGCTCCGTCTCTCACCCAATCCCCACTGTGGCCCCTCCTGGGTCTCAGCTCTCCCTCCCCCTTTGTCACGGCTTGGTCTCAACACAGCAGCCAGCACGGTCCTCCTACAACCCACGTCCCTGTTCTGAACCCCCCCGCCCAGGCCTCCCCAGCCCACCAAGAGGCAAAGGCCCTTCCGTCTCCACGCGCCTTCTTGCACGTTTCCGAAGGGGCTTGCTCCTCTGTCTTCTCGCCCCCCTGCACACCTCCTGTGGACACGGCCCCACGTCCTGCCCCCTCCACGTGCCCTGGCCGGACCTCCCACTGCAGGGCTCTGGCCCATTGTGCTCCTGTTCTTGGAGGAGTGGCTCCTTGACTGTAAAATTCCTGCTGCAAAACTTACTGCCACTCCTGGGTGCCCAGCGGAGCCCCCGTCACCCTGAGAGACAGCTTCTCCCCAGGAGGGGCTCCCTCCCAGAGTTAGTGGCTGTGAAATCGGCGGCCCTGACTGGAAGCACTGCCAGTGAATCAGACCCACTGGGGGCAGGTGAGAGGTGCTAGAGGCAGCTTCCCTGAGTGCTTTCATACTCGGCTGCTCCTCGCGGGGTCCCCTGAGGGAGCTGGGCCACCGTGGATTTGCGCCCCCGCTCCTGGTCCCTGACAGTGTCCCGTGCCCGCGGCGGGGGCTGGAGGGGAGGAGGGCTCGGCACCGGAGAGGCCACTCACCGTTCCCGAGCTGACAAGCGCCAGGCTGCCTGGAGCTGATACGTGCAGATCAAGTAACTCAGCCCTGAAATGTACAGATTTTGGAAACCGGGTCCCAGAGAAGATCCCTGACCGAGCAGGGCTCCCTCCCCACCCCCTGCCTTTTCTGCTGCTGGAACCTCCCCTTCCTCCTGGTTAATGTGGCTTAACCCCCCCGGGGTGCAGGTGGGGCGGGCGTGCCAGCTGGAGGTGACGGACGACTTGGCCCGCAGCCCCCTCCACCCTGGGCAGCCTGGCGACCCCAGGCAGCCGGCCCCGCTCCGGACCTCCGTTCGCCTAGAACCGAGCCGCCTCCTTCTCTGTCCCAGCCGGTGCCCGCGCTGTGGAGGCCTTCCTGCCCCCCCTCCGCCCTTCCCCTCCCCTGTCCCCTTGGACTTGGTCCTCTGAGACCCTCACCTTCTCCCCTGCTTCCCCTGCCTTTTCTTTCCTTTTGCCCCAGAGGGGTCTTGGAGTCCCAATTCCAGACGGGCAGGTGTGCTGCCCCAGAGCCGTCGGAGGTGGGCTCAGACCCTTTTCCGGGAAGGGGGCACACCCCCTGCAGGACGCAGGCTCTGTCCTTGGAGGAGACACAGCCTTCCAGCAGGTGCCCTCCTGGTTCCTAAGATCTGGGCTGGGCGATACTTCACATGTGGGTTCATTTATATTGTGGTGGTCCCTGGACCCTGGCCACGGGGGCTGAAGAGAAATGAGGGCCTCGTGGTGGGGTGGGAGGCACTCAGGGTCGCAGTGGGGGCACCAGGGATCTGAGTCTGGCTGGCAGTGTGACCTGTCATTTAACCTCTGACCCTCGGTTTTCTCGTCTGGGAAATGGGAGGGTGGAACTGTATCAGCCCTGAAGTTTTCTGCACAGCATCATTCTGGGCTTCGATGACAGAGAACAGCAGGGAGCTGGGAGCTCCATCTGCCATCACTGATCCAGATGGAGTCAATGACTGGACGTGACCCCGGGCGGACCCCTAACACTCCCAGCTCCCAGTACAGCCACCCATCAGTCCAGAGCGGGCAGAATGCGTCATCTGGTTCAGACAACAGGGCTTCCCAAGCACCGACCTCGTGCCCGGGACGTGGCAGGTGGTGTATCTCACACCAGGACAAAGAGCTCTTAAAAACTCAGGAAGCTTATCTTGAGTGCCTGCTCCTCCCTGGAGATCCCAAGCCTGAAGTTACAGCCAGCAGCAAGGTGACTGCCAGCTAGTTTAAAATAATGGTAACAATAAAGGCCACTTAGGCTTACGAGTGACCCACAATCTATAAACGCTGGAAAGAAAAATGAGGGAGAGGAAATGAAGATACAGTGCGGTCAGTGTCCCATGAAGTGATCGAACACAGAACACGAGCCCCAGTTATCTGCCACTCTTGATCCGTTCCCTCCCGCCGGTTCGTGACGGTGGTTGAGGACGCAGGCGGTGACGTCCCATCACCTAGCTCAGAGCCGCAACTGTGAGCCTAGTGCCCTGGCTTCCTGGTCTGTAAAGTGGGGGTTAAACCTGTACCTGCCTCATGGCACCGTTGTGAGGATGAAGTGTTGCAGAAAAGCGTGTTACAGCTCAGTTGTGACAGCAACCTGGATCTGGGCGAGAAGACCAAGCAGCACGCGGAGAGTTGGAGAACTCAGGTTTATTACAACAGGAGGCCCAAAGGAGTTAACACTCCAAGCTCTGGACCCTGGTGGTAGCTTTACACAGGCCTTTATAGGCTGCCAGTTTTGCACTTTGCAACATCATATGCAAATAAAGTATAACAGAAGTTGACCAACCAGGAACAAACTTTGTAGAAATAGACCAATCAGGAGTGAGAGAAATAACCAATCAGAAGTGAGCTCCATGCAAATGAATTACTACAAACGGGCCAATCAGACGTTAAGGAAGTAAACCAATCAGAAAGGAGAGTAATAACCAATCAGGAGTGAAGGAAATAACCAATTCAGAAGTGAGCTCAGGCAACCAATAGA